GATACTACACTTTTTTATTCTAACCACCTAGACCACCACGCCAGGATACTACACTTTTTTATTCTAACCACCTAGACCACCACGCCAGGATACTACACTTTTTTATTCTAACCACCTAGACCACCACGCCAGGGTACTACACTTTTTATTTTAATCACCTAAACCACCAAGCCAGGATACTACACTTTTTATTTTAATCACCTAGACCACCAAGCCAGGATACTGCACTTCTTATTTTAACCACCTAGACCACCAAGCCAGGATACTGCACTTCTTATTTTAACCACCTAGCCCATCAATTTAGGGTATTCTTCTCATTTTAACCACTTAGACCATCAATTTAGGGTATTCTTCTCATTTTAACCACCTAGACCGCTATTTTAGGGTACTCTTCTCATTTTAACCACCTAGACCAGCAGGTTATGGTACTCTTCTTACGTAGATCACCATATTAGGATACTACTCATTTTAACCACTTAGACCACCAGGCTAGGCTACTCTTCTCACTTTAGCCATTTAGACCAAATTTATGTTTTTTATGTCTTGGTCGCTAATTTGTAATCTTCGAACAGATGTCACAGCCTAGTCTGAGAAACTAGGGCTCTAACCAGCTCAGCTGAAATACTGACTGCTGTAAGGGAAGTTTACGGCTGTCGTCACAGTACTTCTGAAGTGCCGACATCCATTTTGAGAAACACTTCCTCATTACAGCTGCTATTAGTATCACCGAGTAAAAACATGAATTAAACACTTTTCATTGTATCACTTAATAATAATGTTAGGAAACCGAAGTGCGAAATTCAACGTGTTTGAATACCTGCAGAAATGTTTGTAAAAATAATAATAATAATAAAAAAAGCTTATACATTACTTAATTTCTAACACAGGTTTCGTTTCACGTGATCTGTACTGTTATATTTATTCTCTGATACAATCATTCCCTAATAATATCGTAAAAACATAATTTAATTATTTTGTATATAGTATTGTGGCGAACAATTACGTTAACAGGTTATCACTGTTAAAAGAACAATGCATTCTGGTTTAACGTACAGATCCAGCGAGATCACATTTTCGTAAATCAACATTTTAATCTTAACTTTCGGGTAAGTGAGGCGACATTTCTGTCAAAGTTAAGATTTATATTGATCATTCTCTTAAAGTGATAAACAATAAAATTAATTTAGACCAATTTTCAAACCCTTGATTTGCTAACAAGATTAGCTTGCTACATTTTAATCGGGGAGTGGTGGGTAGTTCTTCAAGAGCGTTGCTGTACTTTTAATGTTATCCAATGGAATTATTTTGAAAGATCGATACATCCATCTTATACATCACAGTATAAGATTGGTTTACCACAACAAAATTTACAAACTACTGTTCTGAACTCCAGTTTGGAAAGTTAAAGTATAGCCCCTATGAATATTTGTTCTAGTTTGTTACGTCAATCTGAAAGGGCGTTAACTTTGTTTAAAAGTGTTATAAGAAACGTTGTTATATTACTGTAAAACAGATGTTTTAGTGACGTATTTTCTGAACTGGCACGAGTAGTTTTGTTTACGTCACAAATTACGAGTACTGACGTGTTAATCTAATATCTTTTCAAATACACGAACGCTTTAAATGGTCGCGTGAAGACAACTAATGGCAACTTGCACAGCTTCAAGTTCAAACTTATACTGAGTGTTTTTGTCAAATAAAGGAAACGTAAACCTATATGGGTGTACAATCATCGTCATTCGTTGAAGTTCCTCGTGCCACGTGATTAGTTAACCCGTGAATGTAGCTGACAGATTTCTGTGAACGTAAACACCTAGCTTACAGCATATTAAAATGTCAACGAAAGGCATTATGGCAAGCACGCTGGCTGATCGCACCAAAAATCACCAACACAATCCCAAGTCCGAGTCACAGTTGAAAATAAATGAAGTCCATCAACAAGAGGCCATCACGCGACTCATTTTAACCTCGGTATGAAAGTAACCACTATGGTTAGCCCGACATCAGTGTAGGCGTGACTTCTGAATTTATACTGGAATATTCATAACCTTTACACTGTCTGGCATGACCTTGTGGTTAGGGTGGTTGACTAGTAGTCTGCGGGTTATGGGCTTAAATTCCATCACCGAACATGCTCGCCCTTTCAATAATGTGGGCGTTACAATGTGACGTTGGTGAAGAGTATCCCAAGAGTTGGCGGTGGGTGTTGTTGACTAACTACCTTCTCTCTAGTCTATTGCTTCTAAATTATGGACGGTTAGTACATATATTCCTCGAATAGCTTTGTGCAAAAATCAACCAATCAAACAAAAATAACATTCAATATATGCTATGACCATCCTCCAACCAAACAAAAATAACATTCAATATATGCTATGACCATTCTCCAAACAAACAAAAATAACTTTCAATATATGCTATGACTATCCTCCAAACAAACAAATAATAACATTCAATATATGCTATGACCATTCTCCAACCAAACAAAAATAACATTCAATATATGCTATGACCATTCTCCAACCAAACAAAAATAACTTTCAATATATGCTATGTCTATCCTCCAAACAAACAAAAACAACATTCAATGTATGCTATGACCATTCTCCAAACATACAAAAATAACATTCAATGTATGCTATGACCATTCTCCAAACAAACAAAAATAACATTCAATGTATGCTATGACCATCCTCCAAACAAACAAAAATAAGCATTCAATGTATGCTATGACCATTCTCCAAACAAACAAAAATAACATTCAATGTATGCTATGACCATTCTCCAAACAAACAAAAATAACATTCAATGTATGCTATGACCATCCTCCAAACAAACAAAAATAGCATTCATTGTATGCTATGACCATCCTCCAAACAAACAAAAATAACATTCAATGTATACTATGACCATCTTCCAAACAAACAAAAATAACATTCAATGTATGCTATGACCATCCTCGTGCATAATTTCATAAAATAAGTCAGAACTTTCAAAGTTTAAAACTGCACAATAATCTATTCAGCAGGGCTTCCCAAAGTGCGGACAACTTTTTAATTTTAACGCAATTATCACATTATTTGCCGACAATTAAACATTGACTGTTATTCGGAGGGCGTGCGCGTCATCTGGTCCGCTTTGTTATAACAATGTCATTTGGAGATAAGAAAAATAATGTTTTGAAATAAATATTCTAGTGATACTGGTTTTTCCATTTATCCTAGTGTTATGAGATTTCCTTTTCAAATAAATTAATTTCATTAAAAAATAAGTCGATTTAAAGAAACATATTAAATAAAACGTAAATAATAGTACAGGTGGTACGGAGATATGGCAAAACTCGTGAAGGTGGTACGCGAATGACTGAAGTTTGGAAAACACATTATTTTGTATAAGTTAAAAGTAAAATACACAGTTAAAAACTTTTCATGTTTCGGTGGAAAAAGTCTGGTCTCTTGAAGATGGTGGGCCTTTTTCCACCAAAACATATAGTTTTGAATTGTATATTTTACCATTAACTTATACAGTAAGTTATTGTACATTATTAAACGTTGGATGTTCTTATTTCTTTGTACCCATAATTCCGCATTTTGATCTTTTTTAAAGTGTAAGTTTTTATTCTTCACTTGTTTACACATAATTATCTTTGAATGATTTCTTTTATCCTGCTGTGGTTCCATCTTCTTTTAAGATAGATTGGCTAGCCTACTTCTAAAAATTCGGAGATAACTTGATTTACATAAAATCCGTTAGAGTTCTCTAGAGAGTTGTTTCTTCAATAATAATAAAAAGAGGTTTGAAGAAAAATCCCAGTAGACTATTTTCACTGAAAATAAGGCTGAATATCTTGATAAATAACAAGTAACAACTGATTTGCACTTAAGCCTCGATTTTCAAGAACCAACAGAAAGTAGGCTTAGTCATCTTTTCTTGTAGAATACGGATTTTTGTTTTTGATCAATAAGACTTCGTATTTTTTTAAATGCATAGAACTCTTTATTTTGCCAAGAGATTTCTAAGAAACTGCATAACTCTCTATCCAGTGCTCTGTGACCTGTGGAAAAGGCATTGAAAGGCGACAACTACGATGCATCGACGGACAGGAGCGGTCTGTGGCTGTTGAGAAGTGCGATGGACCAATCCCAGAGAACATAAAAGAATGCGTGCAATCTCCTTGTCCAGAATGGATATGGTCAGAGTGGAGTACGGTACGGGTCTTATGTAATAAATCATCGAGTTGTATAGATGTTAATAGCTAATTTTCATACGTTAATTTACCTTATTTATCGCTTTGATACCCCCTATGTGGATCAGAGTTTGAGCCTGGTTGTGATTCTGCTCAATTGATGCGATCGTTTCATCGTAGTTGGAAAAGTTAAAATAATGTGTTACTTTCCAGTGTTCCGTCAGATGTGGACAAGGTATACAGACCCGACATCCAGAGTGTAAAGAGGATAGCGTCGCAGTGGACAGCACTAGATGTGAAGGTGAGATGCCAAGAATACAAACACAGAGTTGTTCTCTCAGGCCTTGCAACTATCAATGGTCAGCGAGAGAATGGACCCAGGTAAGGAACTGTTAGCTAGGAAGAAAAATACCGAAATTTCTAGAAGTAAGGTCATATGAACATGCGCTTTTACTAGCATTAGACAGACAGGTATATGCAGTTTTTATTATTAGTTTAATGCCTGATTTATAATAAAACTAACTACGTATTGAACCAGTGTACAAGCTGACTCAAACTCAACCTTTAAAAAAAAACACGTATTGAACCATTGTATAGGTTCAATCAACCTAAATTTCAAACACACCAAGTATTGAACCACTGAACAAGTTGACTCAAATTATTTTTGAAGTTCTTTGTATCTTGTGATTAAGGGACACAATACAGTAATAATTAGTTGTTTTCCTAGTTTTCAGTATTTTGTGATTAAGGGACACAACACAGTAATAATCTAGTTGTTTTTCTAGTGTTCAATGTCTTGGGATTAAGAGACACAGTAATAATTAGTTGTTTTCCTAGTTTTCAGTATCTTGTGATTAAGGGACACAACACAGTAATAATCTAGTTGTTTTTCTAGTGTTCAGTGTCTTGGGATTAAGGGACACAACACAGTAATAATTAGTTGTTTTCCTAGTTTTCAGTATATTGTGATTAAGGGACACAACACAGTAATAATCTAGTTGTTTTCTAGTGTTCAATGTCTTGGGATTAAGGGACACAACACAGTAATAATCTAGTTGTTTTTCTAGTGTTCAATGTCTTGGG